AGAGAGGTGCGCATTCGGTTTTGAAAGGAGACTTTGCTGGCCCGTATTGGATGGCCGGCTGGGGTGGCTTCGCTCTGGCTCACTAACGTAACAGCATCTACACAACCTCTGACGATCCCATGGTGGAATGCCTCCGGAGTCCAAGTGCCGCTGCCCAGTCAGGCTGGCCAGGTTGCAGGTGCTGTAGCGAGAAACAAACGACACAATGAATATGGTGGATAGTGGCCTCAACTCGATGAGCCGTCCTTCATACTTGCTGTGTGTTCCTGGTGACTTCATCCTGGACATGGAAGATGGAGGAGGTCTACCCCCTCGAAGTTCAGGAAACCCAGCAGAACTGGCAGCCAAGGAGCACATCCTCATCTGATGGTCTACCCTCATACGCCCAGCAGCAGTGATGCCCAGACTGTGTGAACATGCCGAGGTAAACAAGCCGATTGCAAGACTCTGGAGGACAAGTCTACACGGAGCTGGAAGAAGTTATTTCAATCCATTCCTGGAAGAGGAGCAAGAATGCAGACCGCCTACAGAGAGGACAGACGTGATTGGTGTGTGGGAGGTGGACCACTAGAGGTCTTATTAGTAGGTGGTACAGAACCTGAGCAGATAGAGGAGGAGAGTCACCTACTGACGATCACCATACCGGAACGTCACAACCAATCATGAGATACAACAGCAGCCTGAAGTTACTACAAGTCTCCACTTTTTTTCCAACAACTGCATAGCTGGACGTCTCCTCATTGGTGACGGAAGAGGAACGGGCGCCCCTATGGTGACGGAAGAGCGAAGGCTCCTCTCATTGGTGACGGGAAGAGGAAGGCCCCTCTCACTGCGTGTGACGGAAGAGAAGGCTCCTCTCACTGAGACGGAAGAGTGAAGGGCTCCTCTCAATTGAGTTACAGAAGAGGAAGGCTCCTCGTCATTGTGTTACTGAAGAGGAAGGCTCCTCTCATTGGTGACGGAAGAGGAAGGCCTCCTCTCATTGGGTGACGGAAGAGGAAAGGCTCCTCTTCGCATTGGTTACAGAAGAGGAAGGGCGCCCCCTCGCTGGTGACGGAAGAGAAGGCTCCCCCAATTGGTTACGAAGAGGAAGGCTCCCCTATTGGGTTACGGAAGAGGAAGGCGCCCCCTCGCTGGTCACGAAAGAGGAAGGCTCCTCTCATTGGTTACAGAAAGAGGAAGGCGCCCCCTCGCTGGTGACGGGAAGAGGAAGGCGCCCCCTATTGGTTACGGAAGAGGAAGGCTCCCCCTATTGGTTACGGAAGAGGAAGGCTCCCCCCTATTGGTTACGGAAGAGGAAGGCTCCCCCTATTGGTTACGGAAGAGGAAGGCTCCCCCTATTGGTTACGGAAGAGGAAGGTCCCCCTATTGGTTTCGGAAGAGGAAGGCTCCCCCTATTGGTTACGGAAGAGGAAGGCTCCCCCTATTGGTTACGGAAGAGGAAGGCTCCCCCTATTGGTTACGGAATTGTGAGGAAGGCTCCCCCTATTGGTTACGGAAGAGGAAGGCTCCCCCTATTGGTTACGGAAGAGGAAGGCTCCACTCATTGGTTACGGAAGAGGAAGGCTCCTCTCATTGGTTACAGAAGAGGTTAGGAAGGCTCCTCTCATTGGTTACGGAAGAGGAAGGCTCCTCTCATTGGTTACAGAAGAGGAAGGCTCCTCTCATTGGTTACGGAAGAGGAAGGCTCCTCTCATTGGTTACAGAAGAGGAAGGCTCCCTCTATTGGTTAGCTGCTCAACTTCAGCGGTCCCGTCCTCTGATGGCAGCTCTGTGGATCTCTTCTCATTCTATGTGCAGCTTTTTCGGTTCTGTGATGGGCTTTCCCCTGATGACGTCATGTGATGACTTCATACTATGACCTCATCCCTAGGACCCTCAGAAATGTAGGTTTACTCCAAAGACCCCACAGCCCGCCAGGACCCCCCCTTCCTTAGAACTACCTGATCACACCCTGGACACCCCCCCCCCCCTCCCCACCCATCTGGTCACACCCCCTCCCCATCCAATTAGCCCCTGGCCGCCCCCCCCCCCTCCTCCCCCATCCAGACCCCATCCGATTAGCCCCTGGCCGCCCCCCTCCCCCATCCAGACCCATCCGATTAGCCCCTGGCCTACCCCCCCCTCCCCCATCCAGACCCATCCGATTAGCCCCTGGACACCCCTTCCCCCCAACTGTCCCCTCCCAGGCTCCCCCCACGCAGACCCATTTGATCACCCCTGAACCCCCCCCCCCCCCGACAGACCCAGCAGGGGGCGCTGTCAGTGAAGGCAGAAAGGGTCAGAGAGCAGAAAAGTGACAGTTGGAGATCTACCAGCCATGTGACAGGAAGTGAGAAACATTCCGCCAAACCCGTAAACTTCCAGAGGGCGGAGTCTTCGGAGCAGGTGGAGGGGCGCTCGCTGTATCTGCGTCCCATCAGCCACGCGGCATCTGTCTCAACCAATGAGGGGGGAGAATGAGGCGGGGGGGCGGGGACAAGATGGTCTCCCTATCACTAATTCAGTTCTGGGCGGAGCTCCACACCCCCTCCCCCATTCCACGCCGACATTCCAGGCTCCGCCCACCTGACCGTACAGAGAAGTGAGACTACTAGAGGCGGGATTGGACGCCAGGAGAAGGTACAACATGGCGGCAGGTGGGGGAAAACCAATCAAATCTGTGGATTGACGAGGACCGGTCCCACCCCCGCACTTACCCTCTGGAGCTCCTCGTCGGTGACCCCGGATCCCAACACACACCCAGCACAACGGGGGGGGCGGGCGCCCAGCACAACGGAGGGGGAGGGAGCGCAACGGAGGAGGGGCGCCCAGCGCAACAAAGGGGGGGCCCAGCGCAGAATTAAAGGGCCGGCACACCCAAATGACAACAAAACTGACAACTACAAACCTCCCCAATATAACCCCCCCCCAAGGGAAGGAAGACGGTCCCCCGTTATACACCCCCCTCTACACCCCACGTCACATGACCTTCTGATGGAGACTACAACAGGCCGTACTGACACTTCACAGACACGGCTCATTGCTGCCACCATCAGGACACCCACGCCGGGTGCATGTAGGCAGGAAGTGACTGCAAAGAGGCTGCAGGAGATGTAACAAAAGAGCAAAAAAAAAATGTTTTCCATAAATGTGGCCCCCAACTGACTTCCTTCCGGCCCCCCCCCCCCCGGCCTGGGAAGTGCCACGTCTAAACCTTTTCCGCGTAGCGGCCCTTTACACACCGTAGCAGCACACCACTCTCCACACGCAGGCAGGGGCCCCCAGCAGGGGCCGATGGCACTTACACTGCATGCTGATGGGGGACACAATCTCCTCATCAAGGTCGTCCAGGTCATCGGTCATGATAAAGTGGGTGGGGGCAGGCCGGGCCCCGCCCATCAGACTGGGGTCGATGTTCAGCGACGTCATCAGGACGTGGATTCCGGGGTTGTTGACGATCTGGAAGCCGCAGAGAGTCTCGATCTGCTGCCAGCGATGGAGGCGTTCCCGGAGCGCCGCGGTCACCTCGCTCAGCGCTTGCCTAGGAGGAGGGGAGAAGGTGAGACGCCCGCGGAACGCAAACATGGAGGAAACGTATTAATCGATCGATATTCATGGCGGCAGGAGAGGTGCGATCCTGCCAATCGCTCATTTACATTTCCAGCCAGCAGATGGCGCTCCTTCTATATGTTAACCAACCAAATCCTAACCGCTCTGCTGAAAAGTCACATGTAACCGCCTGCCTCCCGCGCCAATTCTGACATCCTCCGCCCCACACGCACAAAACCACTTCCAACCGCCACAGTTGTATTTTCTTTAAGGCCCTGGAGGATAAAATGGCGGGTGTCGCGATGGTTTTATGTCACGCGTTATTTAAAACGACATTTTTTTGGGGGAAAATATACACTTTAACGAATTCTAACGCACATTAACACCCGATTTTTAGGTGACGTATAAAAGATGGCGACACGCCGAGTGAACAGACGCCAGACGCGTCACGCTTTAACATTGCGCCCGTGGACCGGCGACAGACTTCATCTCCACAGCCCACGCTTTGCAGTCCTCTACAGGCTCCTCAAGCCTCTCACCCCCACGTCCTTCCGTCCCGTCAAACTCTCACCCCCACGTCCCCTTCCGTCCCTTCCTCAAGCCTCTCCCCCCCCACGTCCTTCCGTCCCTTCCTCAAGCCTCTCCCCCCCACGTCCTTCCGTCCCTTCCTCAAGCCTCTCACCCCACGTCCTTCCGTCCCTTCCTCAAGCCTCTCCCCCCACGTCACACCGTCCTTCTTCCCCCTCAAACCTCTCCCCCCCACGTCCTTCCGTCCCTTCCCAACGTCTTCTTCCGTCCCTTCCTCAAGCCTCTCCCCCCCCACGTCCTTCCGTCCCAGCAAACCTCTCACCCCCACGTCCTTCCGTCCCCTTCCTCAAGCCTCTCACCCCCACGTCCTTCCGTCCCTTCCTTCCTCAAGCCTCTCACGTCCTTCCCCCAAAGCCTCTCATGCCCCACGTCCTTCCGTCCCTTCCTCAAACCTCTCACCCCCACGTCCTTCCGTCCCTTCCTCAAGCCTCTCACCCCCACGTCCTTCCGTCCTTCAACGTCTTCCGTCCCTTCCTCAAGCCTCTCACCCCCACGTCCTTGCGTCGGTCAAACCTCTCATCCCCAATGTCCTTCCGTCCCTTCCTCAAGCCTCTCACCCCCCAACGTCCTTCCGTCCCTTCCTCACGTGCCTCCTTCCGTCCCTCCTCAAGCCTCTCACCCCCACGTCCTTCCGTCCGTCCCAAGTCCGTCCCTTCCTCAAGCCTCTCACCCCCACGTCCTTCCGTCCCTCAAGCCCTCTCACCCCCACGTCCTTCCGTCCCCCTCAAGCCTCTCCTTCCCCATCTTCTTCCGTCCCGTCCTCAAGCCTCTCCACCCCCACGTCCTTCCGTACCCTTCCTCAAGCCTCTCACCCCCACGTCCTTCCGTCCTTCCGTCCCTTCCTCAAGCCTCTCACTCCCCACCCCCACGTCCTTCCGTCCCTTCCCTTCCTCAAGCCTCTCACCCCCACGTCCTTCCGTCCCTTCCTCACCCCCAAGCCTCTCCCCCACTGTCCTTCCGTCCTTCCATCAAGCCTCTCACCCCCCACGTCCTTCCGTCCCTTCCTCAAGCCTCTCACCCCCACGTCCTTCCGTCCTTCCTCAAGCCTCTCACCCCCATGTCCTTTTTTCCGTCCCCTTCTCTCACCCCACGTCCTTCCGTCCCTTCCAGCAAACCTCTCACCCCCACGTCCTTCCGTCCCTTCCTCAAGCCTCTCACCCCCACGTCCTTCCGTCCCGTCATCCCAAACCTCTCATCCCCACGTCCTTCCCCGTCCCTTCCTCAAGCCTCTCACCCCCACGTCCTCCGTCCCAAGTCAAACCTCTCAAACCTCTCATCCCCACGTCCTTCCGTCCCTTCCTCAAGCCTCTCACCCCCACGTCCTTCCGTACCCCCTCAAACCTCTCCCATCCCCACGTCCTTCCGTCCCTTCCTCAAGCCTCTCACCCCACGTCCTTCCGTCCCTTCCTCAAGCCTCTCACCCCCACGTCCTTCCGTCCCTTCCTCAAGCCTCTCACCCCCACGTCCTTCCGTCCCTTCCTCAAGCCTCTCACCCCAGCCTTCCTCCCACAAACCTCTCATCCCCACGTCCTTCCCTTCCTCATCAAGCCTCTCACCCCCACGTCCTTCCGTCCCCCCTCAAGCCTCTCATCCCCCCACGTCCTTCGTCCCTTCCTCAAGCCTCTCACCCCACGTCCTTCCGTCCCTTCCTCAACCTCTCACCCCCCACGTCCTTCCGTCCCTTCCTCAAGCCTCTCACCCCCACGTCCTTCCGTCCCTTCCTCAAGCCTCTCCCCCCACGTCCTTCCGTCCCTTCCTCAAGCCTCTCACCCCCACGTCCTTTCCGTCACCCCCACCCTTCCTCAAGCCCTCTCACCCCCACGTCCTTCCGTCCCTTCCTCAAGCCTCTCACCCCCACGTCCTTCCGTCCCGTCAAACCTCTCATCCCCATGTCCTTCCGCAAAACCCCTTCCTCAAGCCTCTCCCCCCCCACGTCCTTCCGTCCCTTCCTCAAGCCTCTCACCCCCACGTCCTTCCGTCCCTTCCTCAAGCCTCTCACCCCCACGTCCTTCCGTCCCATTCCTCAAACCTCTCATCCCCACGTCCTTCCTGTCCCTTCCTCAAGCCTCTCGTCCCCACGTCGTTCCGTCCCGTCAAAACCTCTCGTCCCCATGTCCTTCGTCCCTTCCTCCCTCTCCTCCCCCACGTCCTTCCGTCCTCAGCAAAAACCCACGTACGTCCCTTCCTCAAGTCTCTCGTCCCACGTCCTTCCGTCCCTCAAAACCTCTCGTCCCCCCCCGTCCTTCGTCCCTTCCTCAAACCTCTCACCCCACGTCCTCCCCGTCCCAGCAAACCTCTCGTCCCCACGTCCTTCTGTCCCTTCCGTCAACTTCAAACCACCTCTCGTCCCCGCGGTCCTTCCGTCCCGTCAAACACCCCTCTCGTCCCCGCGTCCTTCCGTCCCGTCAAACCACCTCTCGTCCCCGCGTCCTTCCGTCCCGTCAAACCACCTCTCGTCCCCGCGTCCTTCCTCCCCTCCCTCTCCGTCCTTCCGTCCCTTCCTCAAACCTCTCACCCCCACGTCCTTTCCGTCCCCTCAAACCTCTCACCCCCACGTCCTTCCCGTCCCTTCCTCAAAACTCTCACACCCCCACGTCCTTCCGTCCCATCAAACCTCTCACCCCCACGTCCTTCCGTCCCTTCCTCAAAACTCACACCCCCACGTCCTTCCGTCCCAGCAAACCTCTCGTCCCCTCGTCCCGTCAAACCACCTCTCGTCCCCCGCGTCCTTCCGTCCGTCCCGTCAAACCACCTCTCGTCCCCGCGTCCTTCCGTCCCGTCAAACCACCTCTCGTCCCCCGCGTCCTTCCGTCCCGTCAAACCACCTCTCGTCCCCCCGCGTCCTTCCGTCCCAGCAAACCCTCTCGTCCCCCGCGTCCTTCCATCCCGTCAAACCTCTCGTCCTTCCGTCCCTTCCTCAAACCTCACACCCCCCACGTCCTTCCGTCCCATCAAACCTCTCACCCCCCACGTCCTTCCGTCCCTTCCTCAAAACTCACACCCCCACGTCCTTCCGTCCCATCAAACCTCTCACCCCCACGTCCTTCCGTCCCATCAAACCTCTCACCCCCACGTCCTTCCGTCCCAGCAATACACAGACAGAAGATGGACATCCATAAGACGAACACAAGGGAAGATAAACGATGGGATGGGGGAGAGGATGGGGGAGAGGATGGGGGGGGGGGGGGGGGGGGGGGGGGAACGACACCTCAACAAAAGGAGGCTGGATCCTACAGGTCAGGATATCGTATGGAAAAAATGGACGTTCTTTGGAGGTCAGATTTTGGACAGAGAGGACAACTGGTACTCAAGAGGCATGAAAGAGGCCATCTACGTCCCACCATCAACGAACGTGGGAACCATCAACAAACGCGGGAATCATGAACACGGGAACCTCCATCAAACGCGGGAATCATGAACACGGGAACCACAATCAACAAACGCAGGAATCATGAACACGGGAACCACCATCAAAGAATACTGGAATCATGAACATGGGAACCACCATCAACAAACGCGGGAACCATGAACACGGGAAACCATCAATGAACATGGGAACCACCATCAACAAACGCGGGAACCATGAACACGGGAACCACCATCAATGAACAAGGGAACCACCATCAACAAATGCGGGAATCATGAACACGGGAACAACCATCAACGAACACGGGAATCAATGAACACGGGAACCACAATCAATGAACACGGGAACCACCATCAACAAACGCAGGAATCATGAACACGAGGGAACAAATCATCAACAAACGCGGGAATCATGAACACGGGAACCACCATCAATGAACACAGGAACCACCAACAACAAACGTGGGAATCATGAACACGGGAACAACCATCAACAAACGAACACTGGAATCATGAACACGGGAACCACCATCAATGAATACTGGAACAACCATCATGAACACGGGAACCATCATCCAAATCGGGAATCATGAACACGGGAAACAACCATCAATGAACACGGGAACAACCATCAACAAACACGGGAATCGTGAACGTGGGAAACGCCATCAATGAACACGGGAACAACCATCAATGAACGCGGGAACAACCATCAATGAACACGGGAACGCCATCAACGAACACGGGAACCGCCATCAACGAACGTGGGAATCATGAACACGGAAAAACCGCCATCAACGAACGCGGAAACCGCCATCAACGAACGCGGGAACCGCCATCAACGAACGCGGGAACCGCCATCAACGAACGCGGAAACCGCCATCAACGAACGCGGAAACCGCCATCAACGAACGCGGAAACCGCCATCAACGAACGCGGAAACCGCCATCAACGAACTGGAAACCGCCATCAACGAAAACGCGGAAACCGCCATCAACGAACGCGGAAACCACCATCAACGAACGAACATGGAAACCACCATCAACGAACGCGGGAATCAACATCAATGAACATTGGAAACCATCAACGAACACGGGAACCACCAATGAACACGGGATCCACCATGAACTAACACTGGAATCATGAACA